CGGACGGTTAGGAAGCGTGCGGCGAAATCCAAGAAACAGTTAGAAATTACGGTTGTCGGCATTGAATTTTTTCTCGTGTCAAAGCGCATGTGGCCATTTATAAAATCATGCGTGTCGCGTAAAGCTCGGTTCCCGCTATGCATGTGTGCACCATCTTCCTCTCCATCTGAGCGCTTCTCCTTACATGTCCTTTCTTCTTCCTCCGACTCTGCGCCCGATCCTCCCCTGACCCTTTGGCGCAGTCGATTGGTCGTTAATTTCAATGTCCGGTTCAATCCCGCAGAAGTGAACTTGTGCGCGGGGCTTGGACGACCACCTCGCCTCCTTCGATCCTTCTAGAACCCCCTCTCTTCCTTTGTCCTGCTCAACTACACCCCTTGCTGCCCGCACCACACGCTGGCACCCCGCCGCCTTCCGCTCTATTAATTCCCCCGCAGCCCCTTCCTCTCCTCCTCTTTGATCTCGGCTGCAATGTTGCACGAGCTATGCGCAAAGACCGCGGTGTTGAACAGGCTCGACGTGCCCAAGTGACGACGTAAGGTGGGATGAGCGGTAGACTTCTGGGTACGTGCGTGCAAAGGGACTGAGTGGCGGTGGAGATAGAACGTAACCAGCGGCAGGGCCTTGAGGCTATGGTTGGTTGACGTTCACGGGTTGGTTGGGGGCCGTGCCTGAGAGAGGCCGGCTAGTGGAATTTTGAATCATGGCGAGGGACTCACTCTTTTCTCCATTGCTGCTTTCAATGCTTTGTCCCAAGTGTTGTGTGTGCACTCGACTAAGTGTGGATACTTAGTCACATACATGATGTTGGTCATGAGGGTGTATGGACATTGAATGCTTCGCTGTCCAAAACGTATGGATGTGGAATGAGGTTGGGGGTGTAAGGCGCACCAAGGCACGACCCTGGGGAGTGCTTGGGTATCAAATGTCTGCTTGTATGCATGAGTGTGTTGATTTCCCCTTGTTCTCCCCGAGCCTTGCCGATTCCCTACGCGACATGTGAGCATCGAGAATTGTCGCCGACTGTAGTACCCTCTCTCCCCTCTCGCGCATGAGTGCCACGTGGCAGTTGGTCCTGTGCCATCAGGCTGAGTGCTGGCAACCAGAGACAGCAGGCACATGCGTCTAAGCGCGCCGCCCTCTCTCTTTGCTACCCGGCCATCGTCGTTTTGCCACAGTGACAATTCTACGATCAGCAACGCTGTGTCCCTGAACTTGCATTCTATTGTAAGTGGGAGAGAGTGGGGCGTGAGTCATTGAGACTTGTATGGAGTCGAGATGTGCTACGTTAAACGTGGATGCGGGGAACTGTCCGTGCTCAACCCTTTCATCGATCCTCCGTAACACCCTTCCGTCGTTCCCGATCACATTCAAAGATAGTGTGCTCTGCAATGCGGATGTGCAGAGCGAGTTGATGGTGACCGGCCAGGTTCATTTATACAACCCATCAAAGGCGGGTGGGTTTGTCGTGATTCGTCAATTTTTGCCCCCGCCCTTGGTCTTGCCTTTCACTGATTGGACAGTGCTACCTTGGTCAGCAGCGCACACCACGTGGTGGCCCCAGTTTAACTGTAGCTGGTGTCGGCGGGGAGACTCGTGTTCCTGGCAACAGCTTTTGCTAGGGTACAAAGGCTCTGTCCGGTTCCCAGAACTCTCCCGCAGCGCAGGCACCCTCTACCTGCAAGCTCCGGAACCTGGGTTCCCGCAGCCCCGCCCCATCTGGACGACGACACTCAGGTACCGGCAAGCTCCGGAACCTGGGTTCCCGCGGCCCCGCCCCAACTCCGGAACCTGGGTTCCCGCGGCCCCGCCCCAACTGGACGACGACACTCAGAGCCGACCATGCGGCCTTGATGAATCCGACTCGGAAGCTTAGAGGCTCCTTCTCTTGGGTTCTTGCAATAGACTTGGCATACCACAAGAGAAGCGGTAGATTCCGCGTCTTCGCTTTTCCTTTTTTTTTCTATTAACAAACACCCGTCTGTCCTTAGCCATTGCAGAGCAGAATTTTGTTCGTACCTTGCATGTTGGCCCTGTTTACCCTTCAGATCCTCTCCTGTATTCCCCATCAAGCCCCTCTGTTGGCCTTAATTTTTGGAATAACCTCAGAATGAAGCGAGAATCCCCCTTTCCGTCGGGTGATTCAATCCCTGCCTAAAATCCTTGGCCACACCCGCAATTACTCTGATCGGGTATCTCTTAGTACGATAGTACGAAAAGCCGCGCGGGTTGTGAGATTGCTCATGACAACCCGCCCTGGAACTGATCTCATGTGTCCCCCAAATTTAGGCTGTCCCTAAAATTGGGACCTTGTTCAAGAAAGAGGTACTAAATGAGAAGAGCAATTCCTATGCTTTGTAGGGAGGGATGCTCTGTGCAAACTCGTCAAGTTCATAAGAAGGCGCCCAGGCTGCCCCGATCTGATTCAAGATGGGGAATGTACCAGCTATGGAACCTACTCTATGCAGGAGATGAAAGTGCAAGTACATGAGGGCACTCATGACAATCTAGCTCAGCTTACTGCAGGGGCACAGCCAGGCCAGTTCTGCGGAGGGATCAATCTAGCTAGGGCTGGAAACACGGGGAGACAACGACGCCAATCACGCAATGGGGACTGCTGAGATTACAGCGAAATGGGAAAAGTCCTTCCCTCACCTGCAACCTCCCTGCTGCAAGGAGCCGCAGAAGCTCTGGTCGCAGCTCATCCTGATCCCATCTCAGAAGATGGCCTCTGTTGTATTTACAGAGCTACCCCGATGACAAAACACGTATTCACCTACAAAACACCAAGTATAAAAGAGCTACGCCGAGAAAAGACGGATTCGGACGCCTACAAAACACGGATCCGGCTATGTACAATTTCCAGCCTGCAAAAGTAGTTACACGGACGGTCCTCGCTCCAACCACCACAGACCCGACTCCATTACGGACAGTGAGCCTACAGACTGGGCAGACAAAACGCTATAATTGATGTTGTGTTTTGTAGTGCTGTCACGGCGGTGTCTGATAGGAAGTGAACTCAATTGAAGAGTTCTACAGCAGACAGCAGTATAGACCAACGCCGAGAAAACACACAAAACACACAAAACACGGATTTTTTCGGACGCTGTGACAGCTGTCGGCTACCTTTCCAAACAGTTGTACAGCGGACAGTAGTGGATCGAGGCCCGATGTATCCTTTCAACGTAAGCATTCATCCTTAAATTTCAACGGCTCTAATTTCTGATGAAAAAAAAAAAAAAACTTCTACGTTCCATCTCGAGACATCCGTTAAAAATTGGAAGTACATAGAGAACATTAGCATGGCCCCTGCGCAAGGACGACACGCATAAATCCAGGAGTGGTTGGGGGGAAAAAAATAAAAAAATAATTAACATCCTCAAGGCATAGTAGCAATAGGACTTCAGTGATGGCCTTTCCGGCACCGCCTGGATGCACCTGGTCCTAACCACATCCAGAGAGAAGTGGCAGCGAGAGAGCAAAGCAGATCAATCCAGATTTTTTGCACGTCTCCACACTCTCGCTCCGATTCGTACTTCGTATCCAATTCTCTTTGCTGGCGAGACCTCGCCCGGCATACACCCTCCAACTTACAAGGCAGCCTCTCCACATTGCATGAACCGCCCTGCATGCTGCCATTTCCACATAACCTCGCCAGCATTACACTGGGAAAAATGCATAACTGTGCCAGACTGTGTGTGTGCGTGTGCGTGTGTGTGTGTGTGTGTGTGTGTGTGTGTGAGAGAGAGAGAGAGAGAGAGAGAGAGAGAGAGAGAGAGAGAGAGAGANGTGTGTGTGTGTGTGTGTGTGTGTGTGAGAGAGAGAGAGAGAGAGAGAGAGAGAGAGAGAGAGAGAGAGAGAGAGAGAGAGAGAGAGAATAGAACATTGAAAAGACGTGGCCCTCTCTAGAGGCACTAAGCCTTCCGCTGCGCGCCAGTGACTTGTAAGTTGTAAGCAGCCTGCCGTGTCATCGACGCGGCGCGCCGTAAGGGACCCCGGACGCCGTCCCAGCTTGCAATGATTACGCTTTGGGGAGGCAAAAAAAGAAGGGAAAAAAACAAGTATCTCCTAAGCTATAAACACGGAGAACAAAAACAAAAAGAATCATTCATTCGATTCATCGAGGCCCATTATTACGATTCGAACTTAGGTCTGAATTTCAACAGTCTATGGGTGTACCAACAAAGATCAGCTCGTTCGTATTTTTATCACAATTTGATCATCTGTGACAAAAACATCTGCTGTGCCATGCAGAACAGTTTCTCTGACATTTGCGTCCCATTCGTTTCAGCGATTTTTATTCACTGTATGTAGAACTGGACTTTCTTACAGTAGGATCGCCGCTCGCAAATTAATTCTCTCTTCACTAAAATTTAGACCATTTCTCGATCTATGTCTGCCATGATTACGCAGAGGCCAACCTAATCTTCTTTGTCTGTATCGTTCCAACCCTTTTAACGGATGTCAAACACAACACCAAAAATACTTTTTAAGAGGGAAAGGCAAAGTGGCTACGATAAAAGTGCAGTTTCTGTTGCGATCAGTTCAATATTTGCCCCGTGATTCATTGGACCTTAGAACCCTATTAAAAAAAAGGGCAAACTAGGGCGCAGTCACGGTTTCAGTTTGAAAATGCGCATTTTTTTTCAACCCCCCAATCTCTCTCAGGCCTTCCTGCTTTCTAGACATCATCATTTGCCCCCTTTCCCCCTCAGAGTCTCCTGGAGTTCTCCCTTCTCCCTTCCCCCTTTCCCCCTCATCCTCAGACTAACAAAAGAAAGAACACCTTAACACATGGAAAACGCCAACGCCACCCGGAACTCTCAGTGGCTTCACTCAAAGAGAACACGAGCTATGAGACATTACAATCACGTACAACCCATTCCTCCTCCAGCTCTCCATTCTCCCACTCTACCCGTCTAAAGTGCGAATCCAGATCGAACTTGATAAATGAAAAGAAAAAGAAAAAAGAAAGAAAAAAGAAATAAGAAAAAAGAAAAAGAAAAATACTCATTTGATTTCGAAGCATAATCGCCTTGAGGGCGTCCGATCTCAACTTACAATGCCGAAGCATACGACAAACTGCCAGAACCGGACACACGTTTTTAATGGCTTTGAACTGTTGAAAAACACACGGAGGTCGGAACGAGATAAACGTGAGAAAACACAACTGAGTTCGAATCCAGATGAAACTAGTTAAACGAATTAAAAAAAAAAAAAAAAACTCGAGTTATGTCGAAATAAAGTCGCCGTGAGGGCGTCCGATTTTCAATTACAATATCGAAGTATTCGATCCATCGAACTCCCAGAACCAGAAACACCCCACCATTGCATCTAAAGCTCTTTTAAGCGTCGTGTTTGTTTGATCTGTTTCACCCCCACAGATAATAGATTGAATGAAAAGATCGACTTATTGCAGGTCACCCTATACCTCTCCCTACTCCCTTTTCTCTTCTCCATACCCGCCACAAGTTACCCAAATTCGATGTAAGAAAACGCACAAGCCAACACATCGTCTCACTATGATTCCGCCAATCAAAAATCACGAGGGAAAAACATAATCGAGTGCCCTCGCAATGACTGCTCTCAACTAATTAGCTACTACCTACCTACGCACACAACACACACATCACACTCACACAGACTGATTTAAGCCTTGGAGATATGCTCAATCAACTCCACCACACGGTTGGAGTAACCCCACTCGTTGTCGTACCAGGACACGAGTTTCACGAAGTTCCCGTTCAGTGCAATACCCGCCTTGGCGTCGAAGATGCTCGACCGAGCATCGCCGATGAAATCCGACGACACCACATCGTCATCCGTGTACCCCAAGATGCCCTTCAGATCGGTCTCGGAGGCCTTCTTGATCACAGCCTTTATTTCGTCGTAGCTGGCGCTCTTCTCCAGCCTCACCGTCAGATCCACCACAGACACATCGGCCGTCGGGATACGGAAGGCCATGCCCGTCAGCTTGCCGTTGAGCACAGGAAGGACTTTCCCCACAGCTTTGGCGGCGCCCGTTCCGCTGGGAATGATGTTGAATCCAGCCCCACGCCCGCCCCTCCAATCCTTGCCAGATGGCCCGTCCACCGTCTTCTGCGTGGCCGTCACGGCGTGCACGGTGGTCATCAGTCCCTCCACGATGCCGAAGTTGTCGTTGAYGACCTTGGCAAGAGGCGCCAAGCAGTTGGTCGTGCAGCTCGCGTTCGAGATMACGTCCAGATCCGGCGTGTACTTCTCCTCGTTCACGCCCATCACGAACATCGGCGCGTTGCCAGAGGGAGCAGAGATGACCACCTTCTTCGCGCCGCCTTTCAGATGGGCAGCCGCCTTGTCCTTGTCCGTGAACACACCGGTGGACTCGACGACGTAATCGGCACCTGCCTCTCCCCACGGAATCGCGGAAGGATCCCTCAGAGCGAAAATGGTGATCTCCTTGCCATCAACGACCAGCTTCTTGTCGGCGGACAGACCGACCTCGCCCTTGTACTTGCCGTGCACGGTGTCGTACTTGAAGAGGTAGACGATGTACTCGGGATCAAGGAAAGGGTCGTTCACAGCCACCACCTGCACGTTAGGGTGGTTGAGGGAAGCCCTCAGGACCAACCTTCCAATGCGGCCGAACCCATTGATGCCGATCTTGACCGCCATCTTCGCTTCGCTGTGCTTGCTTGCTTCCGAAAACGCACACAGCTCTGCTTCCCAAAACGCACAGAGCTCTGCTTCCGCAAAACCCACAGAGCTCCAATGTCCGACGTCGTTGCTGGCGAGCTGCTTAGTTGGAAAATGGCAGCGGCCGAGGGAATCTTTATTCGTTTTCCGGCACGCCAGCAATGATGGCCTCCGCGCCGGCCAAGCCTGGACAACTCACTGCAAGAAGACTGCAGTATCGTTTTTCGCCTTCGATTTCTCAACTCGCTGCAAGAAGACTCTGCACTGTCGTTTTTCGCCTTCGATTTCTCAAAAGTCGGCCTGCTCCTAGCATTATTGCGTGCTGCAGGATTTGAGCGCATGTTCTGTTTATGAACAGTTCCTTGCGTAGGACGGTAATGTTGAACTGGCTACATACCTCTGTCCATTGTAAGGGCATACTCACACTAGCACTTTACTACTTATTTGTGGACGGAATTACGGCCAGATGCATACAGGTTTGGCAGGAAATGCGTTGAGATACATTGTAGGCAGTGCTGGTGTGAGTATGCGCTAAGACGGTAATATTCAACTGGATACTGTAGCGGCGGAATGTTGATTGCGTTTTTCTATTTTTGCTGTTGATTCTTCGTTTGGAAAAGGAGTCGTGGGTTCAATCCCATGGCCGCCTGTGGCACGCTCGGTGCCAACCAACTGAGATAGTCGGCCGGATCCTCCTAGTCGGTATAAGTGAGGTCTTCAGCCAACATGGGTGTGAGTGCGCGTGTGAGCGGGTTGCAACTGCTGTGTGGGAGAGTGTCGGCTTTAGACACTACTTCTACCCGATGGGGGTGGGGGAAAGAGAGGCACAGTTACAGACAAATGCTCGGTCCTTGTGCTAGCCTGGCCACCACCGGTGGCCCCAACCCTGCACGCTAAAAGCTAAGGAAAAAGGGGAGGGGCATACATGCCGTTATTTCCCTCCGCCGAGAGAGGTGACATCCCTTCACTGAAGAGAGGTGGAAAGTTATGCTTGCAGGGGTCCGGTGTATAGCCTTAGGAGTTGTGGTAGGTGGTGAAAGGAAAAAGATATGTTCCATGACATGGCAGAACACCAGTTCAAATATGTGAGGAGATAGAAAATATGTATAGCTGTCCCCCGATGAGGAGAAGACAGCAAGGAACCAGGATCCACACAAAACACGTAACCACTGGCACAGCAAGGCCCAAGAACACAGTCGACAACATGGGCTCAATGAGAGCACAGTCACCAACAACTTGGGCTCAGTGAGAGTCCCTCATATGCCGTACCGTCGGACGAAGCTGCCAAGGGTTGCTGGGGGAGTGCTGGGGGCGTGCCGCGTGGGGGGGCTGGTGCCTTGGGGGGGTAGTAGGGGTGGCGAGGACCCCCACAATTTTTTTTTTTGATTATATATTCTTTTTGTGAAAAAAGGAAAAATTTTGAAATGCCCCTGAAGTTTGCATTTATTTGCGATTTGCCCCTCCGACGGCCAACTTACTCTGATTTGCCCCTCTGATAGTGATTCAAGTTTCCAAAAAAACCCTGGCGTCGTTTAGGCCTGAGACATTTTCAATATGCCCCTACCGGTACCTGTGCCAAATTTCCAGTTTGCCCCTACTGGATAGCCGTTCAGTACAGGCACAATAATTTTCCATATGCCCCTAATGGTACCGTGCATCTTTTCGGTATGTACTTCTGGCCGTTGCTGGCAGGAGCGTTTGTTCCCTTGGCCCTGGAAGGGGTGCTACCTGGTCACTTTTTTTTTTTTTTTTTTAATGGTGTATGTTGTCATATTCGCTATACACTCAAAAAAAGCATGACTGTGCCAGACTCTGTGTGTGCGTGTGTGTGTGTGTCTGCTATGTGACACCCGCGGCCTAGGCCGCGGGCATTTCGGCCGCTGCGGCCGAGATTCTCGGCCGCGCCCGCGGCCGATGAGGCCCTGTCCGCGGCCTGGTTTTTCAATATTTCCCCCCCCCCCCCCTAAAAATACGTAATATATATATATATGGGGGTGTAGGACTTGGAAAACCCTGCACTTCTATTTATTTTTTTGTAATCTGACTTTGTTTAAGATTTTTTCAAAATCAAATACTAAAATTGATTTAAACAAAATTAAAAAACAATATATAAAAATTCACGCCAAACCTACCATTCCTCCAACCATGCGTTAACATAATCGAGTCCCCGTCAACGATGAGCTCGTTCCTGGACATGTAAATACTCGCTTCCGCTGAAGTCTTACTTCTATTTCTTACCGAAACACAAAGAACCCTAGCGAAAGAGAAACGACTGAGATCAACATGTACGCAGAAGTACGACACACTCCCCGTCAAGTTGTCCTGGAAAGGAAGGGGATATTCCTCTAGAATGGCGGGGCATGTCGATACACCCCGGCATTGGGAGGAGGTCGAGGAAAACGTGAAGGTCATTAGAGACGCCATCGGTCGCATTTTAGCGAGATCATGTGGTTTCGTCCGTGCACGATACGTGTCTTGCTTCTCCTCCACTGCAACCTTGTGCAGTCCACAGCTCCTGACGTACGGTTCATCCCTGAACGCAGTGTACGGTTTCGGGGCGAAAGGATAGGCGAGGTCGAGGGGGAGGTCATGGGAGATGAACAGTGTAGGACATGTCAGCTATTCAGCTGTTCAACAAAAGTGACACCTGAGAATGTGTATGCGTGCGAGCATTGAGTTTGATGTGAGCTTGTCGATGCCGGTTTAAACTCTCTCTCTCTTTCTCTCTCTTATGTGTGCGTGTGTGTGTTTAGTGATCGGCGGAGCGTACTGTTAGTCGCTCGTTGCGGGTGCCGGTTGCCTGCCTTGCCAATTGAATGCCTCGAATTGATGATGGATGTAGGCTTCCAATTGATGTGCCTTGATTGGTGTGCCTTGTTCGTGACGCTACTTCCTATTTCACGAAAGATGAACAGTGTGAGAAATGTGGGACATTCAGCAACAGTGTGGACTGAGACTGTGTGTGTTATGAAAGCAATGGGTTTTATGTGAAATTGTCGATGTCGGCTTTCGATTCTTCTGCTTTGTTTGATGTGACTTTTAGCTACGCTGCTCCCGTGTTCTGTTTGTCTGCTTTTGCATACGTCGTCCCGTTCCCGTGTTCTGTATGTTAGCCCGGTCGTGTCGATATGTCACGCTGGCCCCCCACGTTTGAGTCGAACTCGATCGAATCGACCTCCATCGAGTCGATCTCGATCGAGTCGAACTCGATCGAGTCGAACACGATCGAGTCGAACACGATCGAGTCGAACACGATCGAGTCGAACACGATCGAGTCGAACACGATCGCCTGGGCTCACGATCGGATCCAACACGATCATCTGGACTCATGATCGTCTGGACTCACGATCGCCTGGACTCACGTTCGAGTCGACACGATCGGCTCGAAGACGATCGCCTTGACTCACCATCGAGTCGAACACGATCGCCTAGGCTCACAATCGACTCGAACTCGATCGAGTCGAACACGATCGTGCCGAACTCGATCGAGTCCAGCACGATCGAGTCGAGCACGATAGAGTCGAGCACGATCATGTCGAACTCGATCGAGTCAAACACGATCGCCTGGACTCACGATCGACTCGAAAACGATCGAGTCGAACACGATCGAGTCGAACGCGATCGAGTCGATCATGATCGAGTCGAACACGATCGAGTCGAACACGATCGAGTCGAACACGATCGAGTCGAACGCGATCGAGTCGATCATGATCGAGTCGAACACGATCGAGTCGAACACGATAAGCCTGGACTCACGATCGAGCTGGCATGTCACGCTCGCGCCGAACGAGATCGTGTTGACCACGGGCACGATCACGATCGAGTTGAACACGATCGCGGCTGCCTCGTCATGAAGGAGATGCTGCCTTATCACTATCTGGAACTTTTCTGCTCCTCGTGCCATGCCAACGTTGTGCGGCCTACTGATTTTTTGCTTCTCGGTGATGTGTTGTGTTGCTTTCAGATTACGCAGCACTACAAAACATGGAAGGAGAGGGGAAGGCAAGTAAACGACAAGCAAGTAAGAATTATGGGAGCATGGAACAATCTCCGAAAAAATCAAAGGGGACGCCGGCCGCTGGGGTTGGGAGTCTGGAGGCACCGGGGTCTAAGCGGCAACGCACCCCAGTTTCGAGGGGTGCACCTTCCACGGGCACTCCGTCGACTCCTGTTCGGGGCCCTGGACCGGATAAGGCTGTGTTGATGACTGGCGGGCCTGCGGGTAAGGAACGTGTGCCTGGTCCACAGCAGGGGAGATCTGCAGTGGAGGTTATGCCCAGACACAAACCGTTTGGAGAAAGTAAACCGTCTGGCGAACGTAAACCGTCTGGTGAAACGACTGCACGGATCGGCGAGACGATGTGCCTGTGATTGACCACAAGGACAAGTTTTGGATGCTCGACTGGGTGGGGGAAACCGGACAACCATCGAGTGGCCTTGTTTTGTACGTGGTCATCAAAGACAATATTGTGTCGGTTGGCGGCCTGGTGAGGTGGACTGGACAAAATGTGCCCTCTGCAACGTTCGAGTTGACGATGGTCCTGAATGGAAGAGGGGAAAGAATACCAAACATTAAACACATCGCTCTTCGATGGACCAACCACGCGGGGTTCGGAAAGTCGCTGGTTGATGTGTTCAACCCACCAGGGACATTGACAGTGAAGTTGCCTAACCTCGTTGACGTCCTCGGGTTTTTCAACAGTAATGTGATCGCGGGTAGAGAGCCAGTTGTGCATCCAGAGGACCGCATATCAGAGCCTAAATGCGTGCTTTCGAAAACCGTGGAGACAGGGCCTTCGATCACGATCCGCGAGATGCCGCTTGGTCCGAAAGCTGGGCAGATCAGAGAGAAGGGTCCGTGCCGCGGACTGGTCGTACCGTCAGCCCCTATGAAAACCAGACCAACGGCGACCAAAGCACCAATTGGTTTGGGCAGCTATTCGATAGGATCTTGATTGGTTTGGTTGATTGATTGATTGATTTGATTGATTGATTGATTGATTGATTGATTGATTGTGTGTGTGTGTGTGTGTATGTGTGTGTGTGTGTGTGTGTGTGTGTG